CACAGAGACAGACTCGCACCGGCACCCATACAGACACACATGCCTCCTGATCTCCATGGCCTTTTTTGGCCCATAGTCCAGGGTCCTGTTCAAAGGGATGGGCCTAGACTGCAGGTATATATTATCTTGTAATGAGCCTTCATGATAAATTATCACCATGTGCATGCCAACTACCTGCCTCAGCACCGTTCTTCGACGGTACCCACGCATATCCCGGCCATGGCAGGTCCTTCAAAAGAAGCGACATGTTGCATCCAAACACCTCATAAATTTAAGACATATATCTATATGTACATATGCAGGAGAAGCCTCAGAAATGGCAGGAAGGTCAGGTGCCCAGGATGGCCAGTCCTGGAACATGCAGGCGCACTCGAAACTATTTGCAAAATCAGAATAAAATGCCCTGCCTTCGATATATCTTCTTTGCTTTGCCATCCTTGCCACACCTGGTGCATGCCGTGCAGTGACATAGTTATTCCATCTAGGCTATGAATACCGATACTCACAATGTATGCAATGGCCTTGTGATGGCCTGCCGTCTGCGTCTCTTCATGCTTCCAAGCGTAGTGCTGCTGCGAGGCCTACTGCAAGCACTTATAGCTAGAGTGAACTCACAGACAAAACTCGTCGAGGAGGAGCCTCATTTTGCAGGTCAGGACCTGCTTTCTTCCACTCCTGAGAGGAAAAGTTGTAGCTCCAACAACCCATTGAAAGTCCCGTGGACCATGATCCCAGCCTCAGCATGATTGCCCTGCATCCAATCATCCTGCAGAGCAACATAAAAAGCAGCTTAAGCCTTCATGAGGTGCAAGGAACGGCACTTCCCCAGCCTCGGAATGGGCTCCCCATTGCCGTTGCACCTGCACTGCTCCATGGGAGGATAATTTGCAAAAAGCAGACACACATTCGATTCCAAGACAACTGGCCAACCTCAGCACTGCCATCCACAGGCTTGCTCGAATCAGCCTGCAACAAAGGACTCAAATAGATATCTTCTCTCTTTCTCTCACGCTCTAACTGATCTGTCTTATGTTTAAAGCTTAGGTACCCCACCTTGCCCTCAGCCAGGATCGCGAGGGCCTTCTCCGACACAAGGTCGTCGACACAGGGATCCTCTTCTTCCCATCCTTCCTCCTCAGCTGCCTCCTCCATTTCATCATCCTCCTCCTCTGGGTTTGCCAGAGCATCCCGAGGCCTCCACTCATTTCCTGGATCCCCAGGATCAGCCCAAGTCCACTGCACGGAGTGATTGTAGATATCAAGCTCCCGCGCATTTTCCGCCACAAGTGGGACCTGCACACACGGATGGATTTTGTAGCACAGGAAAATTGACCATGATAGGAAGAGTTGCCTTCCAGGCTGGCTCATCACCAGCTTCTGGCTTTGGCCTGGGCAAGCAAATTTTAAAGACACCCTGAGATGATTACTTTTAATGGTCGGGCAGAAACCATTGCATCAAGAAGCTTGCTGTCAGACCACGCAGGAGTAGGCGCATCCCGGATGGCCTGATCGCACAAAAGTCACACAGAAGCCCGTATGCTTCAAAACTCATAGAGTAAGGAGTACACCTCCATCTCATGCAGAGGCATCAGCCAGTCGCCGTCCTGCGAAATGACAGATGAGGAATTATAACGCTGACGATGGGTCATACCTCATCCTGCTCCGTGGCCGTCGGCGTCTCCGTCTCGACGCTTTCTTCAGTCGTCCTGCCCAGGAACTAAACCGCAGGAACGGATGAGCAAATCTTGGAGATGTCCGCCTCAAGGAGTCAGAGCTCGCCGGCACCACCGCAAGATCATCATCCCATGCATCCTGGGCAGCATTCGATAGTGGAAGACCCAAGATTGCTAATGCTGGCAGCCGGCCTCCGCCGACCAGGCTTGGGTCTCGTCGTGGTCTGTCATGGCTTTCCGTGAAACTCTGGCTGCACTGTTCTTCCTGTACCGATACACCAGCTTCGTGACCCGGGCTGCCTGCTGGGCTCTCCAGCGCTTTACAGACACCCCAGGAATGACCGGATATTGGAGGTGGTAGTGCGTTTCTAGTCTCTCCAGAGCCAACAAAGCTACTTGCTCAGTGACAAACTTGTACGGCAAATCCTCAGCCCAAGCCAACTTTCTTTTAAGAGCCACAGACTTAAGAGTGCCGTGAGGAACCAAATCACCGGTCGCAGCACACCTCCTGCCACAATCTTCTCTAAGAAAGGACTCCCACAGGTGTTTCGCAAGCACTGCTGCTCGACGCAACAGGGGCATACTCTAGCGCTGCAGTGCTGCGGCAAAGAATATGATTGCGTGTTTGCACATGATGCACCGGCCCAACAATCAAGAAATCACCCTATAAGCGAGACGAGCTCGCCACCGTCTCGGTATCCATGGATGGTCCTCAACGTCCACAGAGCCCAGCCTGGCTTAAAACCCACTGGCCATATCGAGCAAATGATTGAATACCGAGATCCGGACCATTGTCCAAGACTTCATTCGGCCCGAGCTCCATACACAACTGAGCGACAGAGTTAAATATCCTTGCTAGCTGCATGAGCAAACTCCGAGCCTGGCCTCGTGCTCCGGAGTCCCCGGTGGTGGCACGCACACAGTCAAGGCCCACCATGGATTGCACGTACAAGCATCCCTGGTTTTACCCCTCGGCTTGGTTTTTCTGGGACTCTTACGCGCAAGGAGACGAATTGGCCAGTTTGAACGCCCTTGCTGCAAGGAGCGCCCTGAGACTCCTGAGGGACCCGACTTCTTGGAGACTCCTGAACGACGCTTAGCCACAGCAACCTCAAGCCCTGCAGCTTCGGCTTCCGCCAGCACCATTGTGCCTTCGAGCCTTCGCTTTCCACAGTATATATAGCACATCTGTCCACACGCATGCATGATCCAGCTCTTGAAAGCAAGCACTCCATGTCATGAACACACTGCTGCATGCAGCATATCACCGGCTGGGGTGATATTATAAGAAAAGAATTCTGGACACGCCGATCAAGTCGATTCGAACACGAATCAGCATATCGCTACATATATATACATATAAAAAATTATATAAACATGCAGGCAAACCATACCAGGACTATCGCGATCGGTAGGACGCATACAAATATACTACTACTACTACTACTACTACTACTACTATTACTATACTACTATATACTAGCTACTACCTATATATACTACTACTACTATATATATATATA